TAAACGAACATACTCGATAGTACGAGAACAGATTTTTCTTGAAAAGAATCACGGACAGAATTATTTAAACCACAAATTAAATTAGATCTTTCCTTCTGCTGACGCGACTTTATAGTTAGAGTGCTGTTATAGCAAAATGCATTGCGCAATACTTTATAGTGTTTTAATGCAAAGGGAAAATTGTATTTTGTTTCTGAAAAGCACAATTTCTCGTGTTCATTATAACCCTCGAGTAGAGATAAATTCCCGTGGAATAATATTAACGAGAGTAATCGCGAATTAATTAAAGAACTGAAAATATAAATTAATATACCGTGCGACGTTTTATGTTTTCACTTTATCTGTGAAAATATTTGTTTCCTCGGCTGCGATTATTACACATTTAATTAAATTTGTAATTTATCTTCCACTTCTGAAAACAGTTTGAATGAATACGATGAACCATCATATATGTATACGTATTTCCATAGCGATCATACAAAGTTTTAACAGCAGTTTAATTTAATCTTTTCTGTATGAACATCCTTCGAGACGAAGGTTATAGTTGTTTACTCACTGACAAATAATTGAACATGTTTTGACATTTTCATGAATAGAAATCCTAACTTTTTCTGTAAATAATAATAATAAATTCTGTTTTCATAAACGTGTTTTATTATCCCTCTAACAGAATAGGAAAAGAGTATATGTGATTATTTATGCAAAAGACCACATTTAAAGTGCAACGTGGGATCAGATGAGACATTTTGGTCATCAGAATTAATAACATATTTTTCGTTGGATTAAACTTTAAAAAAATACATATTATATTCGATTGGGAAACGTTTTCCTTTTTCTGAAAACGATTATTTGTAACCATTTTTTGACCAAAATTCGCCTAATATTTTTTTACCTGCTTGCATTAAATATGCAAGCAATTTGTTCTGTGGAAGCAACCAATAATGTAATCCTCCATATTATGTACATATATGACACTACTCCAACAACGTTACAAAGAAATATCTCTTTAACTCTAATGTTCACTTTCCAGGATTTTAAGGTTGCAAAAAATGTGGAAAGTCCGAATCGCCAATAATCCTTCGCATTTAAAAAGTTTTATGAAGGCTGTATCAATACAATATCATACGAAATTCCATTTTAATAGAGTAATATTTTATTTGAAGCGTTACTTAGCACAGTAAATTCTCTCTAATTGTCCGCCAGCATGCAAACAGAAATGATGGTTGTCAGCAACTATAAAAACGAGACGCGAGGCTCGAATAATCGTATCTCCTCTTCCTAAATTGTCCATTTTCGTTTACAAGCTGAAGGACAATTGGAAAGAATTCACTGTACTCCGTAAATATACAAGGTGTCCCAAAATTATGGTACTTGCGAGAAATTAGAAATTCCTGAGGTCATTCGAAGCAACTTTTTCCTTTACAAAAATTTTCCCCGAGACATCGTTAACGAATTATTAACGAAAAACCCTGACCAATGAGAGGCGAGCTCGGATGACGCGAGGCGGCCCAGCCAACGAGCGCGCGAAGCCCAGTCCCGCTCATTGGCCCGCTTAGTGCCAGGCGAGCTCGTCCCTCATTGGTTACTGTTTTTCGTTAATAACTTGTAAACGATGCCTCGGAGAAAATTTTTATAAAGGAAAAAATTACTTGAAATCATCTCAGGAACTCTTCATTTCCCGGAAATATCATAATCTTAGGACACCCTGTATATTTTCGAGCTGCTGGTAGGTGATCCGAGAAAATTCTCGAGATGCAACGAGGATGTAACATAAAACCGTATACAAACCGAGTAAATTCGTAAAACTATAGCGTCGTACCTGCCGAACAGCTGAGTGTTTTTCATTAAATTCAGTGGCTTGTCTGGAATGACTGCGTTATCGATCAGCGGCGCGAACGCGGGCACGTATTTCGGCTTGTGAATCTTCACATCCAGCAGTTTGTTCACGTCCTGGTTGCGCAAACAAAGCGCCAGGTCGGTGTCGGTCGTCGTAGGGCAATTTAAAGCGTGCGCCACCTGAAAAATGATTCGTATCATTCCTCGGCGGCGCAATGAACGTTCCAGCAATCGCAGTTTCCCCGCGACCGTGGCGAGACGGCGAGACATTTCTTCCCGCGTGTTCGACATCGCGCCCTTATCGCTATTTCTTTCCCGTTCGCGTTGCGCGGATCGCCGATGCGCGCGCGCGCGTCAAAAGCTCGGCTGCACGAATAACGGAATTCGATTGAAGTTCTCTACTTCGACGGACTTCCCAGAAGACGAGAGTTCTTCGAGCTCTTTTCCCTCTCTTGAAAAAAGATTTTATTACCTGCTTTGTGATCTGCAAGGGCGCTTTGCCAATGGCGTCCGCGCTCAGGGCCGATCCAGACATCAGTATAGCTCGCTTAAACAGACCTGCACACACGAATGTCACGGCAATTAATAACCGGGCCCCCACGGGGATCTGACAGCCGGTGTCCTCCTCGCGCAAAATATTAAGTCCGGTTATTTTTCATTGCGCGATATAATTATTGACCGGACACGCCGGCATTGTGCCCCCGGACGGACGGTAGATACTCCCTTCGGCCTCCGCGGCAGGTGAAAAATGATCATCGTCCTCCTTTCATTCGTCCTTCTTTCCTCGATGGGACGCTCTTCTCTACCGATCACCCCGGGGACCGTGCGAGTCCTCGCGGAAAATACGAGACGTCTCTGAAACTCCGCACGGTCGTGGGTTCTCCCCTGTCTTTGAGCACGATCATCGACGCCTGGAGAGTCGTTCGATGTATGATTGAGTTACGCTACTTGGAGACGCCGTCGAGTACGTACGGTTGTCCATTAGTATCTGTTTGAGTGTTGATTGACTCTTCGGGAAATATCGTGGTAGTGGAAGCAGGAACACGGTACACGGAAGGGACATCGTTTGATGCGAAAGTGGGGCGCGAAACTGTACGGTTAATGAAGCACGTGTAGAAGTGTCGTGTTAGTCAAGTTACGCTCGTAGAACTTGGATAAACAGTGATCTGCGAGATATGGATGTGGACCTAGTAGAACAATTTACTAATTATTAAATTTATTAATTAACCCCTTAATGCACAATTTTTTAAAAAAGACCGACCAAAAAAAATCAATTTTTTTTATCTAAGAAAATACATATTTGGACCTTAATTTCAATAAATATTTAAAAAAATGCAAAAATTACTAAAAATTCAATAAAAATAGTGGATAAATAATTATAGTGAATATTGAATCGCATTGCAGATCGAATTTTGTACCCATCGTACTGTTTTTCATATATTCGAATCTGAACATTTTAGCGACATAAGTTGCGACGCCGACCGTATATATACGGGTCTGCACATTTTGGCCGGTTTTGCACGCCCGTGTTAATACGTTTCTGCGCGTTAAGGGGTTAAAGTTCATTCATTAAAACTCATTAGTTGTTTTTAAAAAATATTTCCTGTTGTTATATTCTGTTGAAGTAGTAATTAAGTTGTCAAGTAGTCGAATTCTTGTTGGCATAGTTCCAAAATTATGGTATTTCCAGGAAATAAGGGGTTCCTGAGGTCATTCCAAGTAACTTTTTTCTTACCACGAATGCAATCCGCGGCTTCGTTTACGAGTTATTGATGAAAAGCGTTAACCAATGAGAGGCGAGATCAGTTATCACGCGGCGGCCGAGTGAACGAGTGGGCGAAGCCCGGTTACGCTGATGGGCTCGGCGGCCTAACGCTAGGCGAGCTCGCCTCTCATTGGTCAGTGTTTTTCGTTAATAACTCGTAAACGAAGTCGAGGATTGCATTTTCGCTAAGGAAAAAGTTACTTCAAATGACCTCGGGAACCCCTCATTTCCCGGAAACACCATAATTTTGGGACAACCTATATACACTGGGTGACTAATTTTAAACATCGCAGACAATTATTATGATGCCTGAAAATAATTAATCTATTCTACATATTTAATCATTAAATTGTGCATTGTAAGCGTTAATAACGAAAATGAGTAGATCAGATGCAAAATGACAGAAACAAATTGAAACAAAAAAACATTCATTACTCTCAATTCATTAAAATTATTATAAAAAGAAATAAACTACGTTGGCCCTATATTTTGTATTTAACGATGACAATTTTTACTTAGCACCGCAGTCTAGTGATCATAAACTGATCTTATCTCGCTCCCCTGAGCAGCTTGTTTTCTATAATAGTTGTCTAACTATGGCATACCTATTTCTATTGCTTGAACCGTTTACGCGCAGTTCCACTTCCCGAAACGTCATCGACCTATTTTTTGTTGTCTGACCACTATTGCCAATTCTACTGCTTGGCCTTGATCTGTCCATTGTGCTTGTCTGTTTATGGCCCATTCTATTTGGTTTAGCATACAGTCTCCATATTTCACTTGTCAGGCGATAGTTCGTGCCCGTTCTACTTGTTGGGTCGTAGCTCACCCGTATGGCACTTGTCTAACCACGAAACGTTCCTACTCCCCTTGTGCAACCATAGGATACCTCATTCTAATATTATTTCGACATATTACTATCAGTCGAATGATTTGTACTTTGATCAAGATTTAGATGTTATTTGTAATTCGATCATTTATATTTCTTTGTGATATATAAACATCGACTTTTCTCGTATATACGAATATAATATATTATAATATATTATTATAATATATATATAATCATAATATATTATTATAATATATATAATCATAATATATTATTATAATATATATAATCATAATATATTATAACATTACGATTAATTAATATTCGTATCTAGCCAATGAAAAGTATGCGACTTGGTCTGAACACGAAATACCGGCCAACAAAGGCCGGCCAAAATGACAAGATCAAATTTATTTGTATGAGAAAAACTAGTAAACCGTTTCACATGGAGAAATTATTATAAATTAAAGAGTTACTATAAAGTAAAATATCGTAGGAATAAAATTCGACAAGCTAACGATTCAAACTTTTGTGAGAAAAAGTCACCCCGATGTGTGAAGATCCGAAGAAAGATCCGCTCGACTGTTGTTCCAGATTCTCGTCGTTTATTCATCGAACAAATTCCTCCGCGGCCGACGAGTAAGACCCTTATCAATGCCGCGAAAATGGAGGTAATGCGTTCCCTTGAAAGCGTCCCCCTTAATATTCAGGCATCGCAGAAGTCGTAAACACGCGACTGCGCTATAACGGTTACCTTTCTTATTAGCCACGGGACTGATAAGCAGCAGATTAGCGAAAATGGCGCCGGTGCCGTGGCCGAGCAGGGTGACGCTGTCCGGATCGCCGCCGAACTCTGCTATGTTCTCTCTGATCCATAATAGCGCGGCTATTTGATCGAGCAGTCCGAAATTACTCGCCGTGTCGTCCCTGATGCCGGGTCTCAAGAAACCTGCAATCACATTCGATTAAAAATGAAAAAGAAAGAAAAAAGGGAACGGCATCCCTTTGGCTTTGCTGCAATAATAATAGTTTTATTAACACTCGGACGGCGGACCATTTTCAGAATTATACAATTGACGATGTTTATGTCGGTTCTCGGCTTTATTCATCAATTTTTCCAAACATATTTTTGAAGATGCTTCATGGAGACTAGAGGTTTTCTTGTTGTTCTTAACAGCCATTTATTTAACTGCAGACCGAGGGATAAGCGAATCGATCTTTTGAAATATACTCGAACCTCGATTAACACTAGATTTATGGAATCCGACAAAATGGCGGGTCAATAATTTTATAATTTACGATTTATTTATTCAATTATATGTTACTTACGACAAATGTTACAATAACACTTGTTAAAAATCAGAATAAATATNTACTAATATACTAATATACTAATATACTAATATACTAATATACTAATATACTAATATACTAATATACTAATATACTAATATACTAATATACTAATATACTAATATACTAATATACTAATATACTAATATACTAATATACTAATATACTAATATACTAATATACTAATATACTAATATACTAATATACTAATATACTAATATACTAATATACTAATATACTAATATACTAATATACTAATATACTAATATACTAATATACTAATATACTAATATACTAATATACTAATATACTAATATACTAATATACTAATATACTAATATACTAATATACTAATATACTAATATACTAATATACTAATATACTAATATACTAATATACTAATATACTAATATACTAATATACTAATATACTAATATACTAATATACTAATATACTAATATACTAATATACTAATATACTAATATACTAATATACTAATATACTAATATACTAATATACTAATATACTAATATACTAATATACTAATATACTAATATACTAATATACTAATATACTAATATACTAATATACTAATATACTAATATACTAATATACTAATATACTAATATACTAATATACTAATATACTAATATACTAATATACTAATATACTAATATACTAATATACTAATATACTAATATACTAATATACTAATATACTAATATACTAATATACTAATATACTAATATACTAATATACTAATATACTAATATACTAATATACTAATATACTAATATACTAATATACTAATATACTAATATACTAATATACTAATATACTAATATACTAATATACTAATATACTAATATACTAATATACTAATATACTAATATACTAATATACTAATATACTAATATACTAATATACTAATATACTAATATACTAATATACTAATATACTAATATACTAATATACTAATATACTAATATACTAATATACTAATATACTAATATACTAATATACTAATATACTAATATACTAATATACTAATATACTAATATACTAATATACTAATATACTAATATACTAATATACTAATATACTAATATACTAATATACTAATATACTAATATACTAATATACTAATATACTAATATACTAATATACTAATATACTAATATACTAATATACTAATATACTAATATACTAATATACTAATACTAATACTAATACTAATATACTAATACTAATACTAATATACTAATACTAATATACTAATACTAATACTAATATACTAATACTAATACTAATACTAATACTAATACTAATACTAATACTAATACTAACACTAATACTAATACTAATAAACTAATATAAAATAGTTGTTTTTTGTGCTCCGTAAATCTAGCGTTAATTGACTTGCAAACAAAAATGAACAATGTGGGAAGAGCAAATACGATCATTCGAGCTTAGTATAGAGTTCATAATCACCAATTGTCAACAACTATAAAAACGAGCCGCAAAGCTCGAATAATCTTCTCTCCTCTTCCCAAATAGTCCATTTTTGCTTCCAAGCTGAGGTAAATCTGAGGCTTCCTTTCAATTAGGGAGAATTTACCGTCAGTGATTGTTTCTGCTTAAACAACAGTGTCCTCTATAACTTCTAAAACATACTGTCTCTTAAGGAGCACGACTCCGAAAACTAACACGCACACCAATCGTTAGTTCAACGATCGGCCAGAAACTCGTGGCAGATGTTACGAGACTCCGTTGATCTCTGACTAACAGTTCGCAAATATCCGAAGAACGAATTCAGTGAAACAGATCGGCAATTAGCTAGAGCAACGTTCCATACCGGTTTTAAATAAATCAGCCGTAACTGCCGCCATTAAAATATCTAAACGTGCACACGGACGAGTTAACAGCCTATCCACAGCGCGCCAAGAAATCAGCCCGAAACGTAAACTGCCCCGGTGCATCGCGATCGTCGTTTTTGCTCGCGCGAGTCCGGCACGGCCGGCCGTATTTTTCCTCCCTTGTTTTGCGAAGGGCTGAAGTTATCCGCGGACTTTTCACGAACTAACCGTGCCTCGTCGCGGCGCGGCAGCGGCAGCGGGACGGGGGCGAAGTTAACTAAGCGCCTTCCCAGCACTTTAACCTAATTTATGATTATGGTTCCGCGGCCTCCTTCTCCTCTTTTTTTTCCTCTCCCCTTCGCCCGGTAGTCGGTACTCTTAAAGCACCCCACTTGTCGGATGTAGCGCGCGCGGCGCGGCTCGCCGCGCGGCAACGTCCGTCCATTTGCATTGCGCGCGGAGCTCGCGTTATCATTTTAGGGGAAAGGATACGGCGGAAGATCGTCGTTACGGGGGTCAGAGACGACGGAGGGGCAGGGACGGAGGAACAAAATAGACCAGGCCAGGGAAAAACGGCGGCGATCGATGAGAAGTTTCGGGGCCAGAAGAAAGCCTTTGTCTCGGCCGGCGGCCTCTTCTTTCGGAGAAAAGTTTTCTTTCGCGCTTTACCGTGGCACAACGGGGGTTGCATGGTATTTTACGGTCACCCCTCTACCGTCCAGTATTGCCGCGACCTTTCTTTTTTCGCTCGGCGAATAATGAATAGCAGTTTTCTGCTTGCGCGGCGAATGTTTGTTTGCGCCGGTGATTAAACCGGGTCGATGAACTTCGGAGAAGTTCGCCGGCCGGGACGCGGTATTCTGATCGCCGGAATGAACGTTAACCGAATTTCTCGATAAAACCTTCTTGCCCGGACCCTGAAGTTGCCCTTCCGGTGGTGGGCGCAATTCCGGAAACGATGCCGGAATTACACGAATTTTCCGCGCGCCGTGAAATGCACCGGACGATAAAAATTGCGTGAAACTTTCAAGAATTCGGTCGCAACGGCAAAGGGCTCGAACCGAGTTATTTATGCGAGTGGACTGGAGAAAAGATATTGGAAGGGTGGCGCTTCGCTTCGCAGCAAGATGACGGGATCGATAGACAGTCGTGGGAGGGAAATAAAAAGGAGCTCGTCGAAGATCAAAAACCGATGGCGCAGCGAAGCGCGAACGCTAATGAAGCAGAATTCCTGATTTCATGCCAGAATGCCGCCGACAGGGCTTCGGCGAGATTTCATAAATTCGCGTCGGGAAGCGAGCGGGGCTTGCTCCACATTTCCTGACGAAATTTCGAAACGATTACATTTTACGCGCTATGTATTAATCCGTTGTACTCTCGTTTCCGTTTCCCATGACATTTTGTTTTTACTTTTTGATATTCCATCGGATCGGAGAGGTTCCGTTCGCAGCATTTACGGGAGCTTATTGCACCACTCTGTAGGAATGTATTTAACGATTAAGCTCGAAGCGCACTTACCGAGGATTCCTAAGCGAAAGTTGATAGTGACGAAGATGACGTTACCGTAAGCTGACAATATGGCACCATCGTAGGGGTTGCCACTGTTCCATTCGAAACTTTCCCCGTGTATGAACACCATCACTGGATACTTTCTTAGAACTTTCTGACCTGGAATGAGAAATGTTTGCAGCAGTTATTTTACAGGGTATTCGAATGAAACGGTTATACGATACAATATTTAAGAAAATCGCTGTATTTATTTTTTTTAGAAATAATAACATGTTTGCGGGGTTTAAATAATTTTCAAACCTGAGTGTGTTCAAACGTGATAATGATAAGACGAAATAGCTATACTTCTGCGTATTCATTTAAAACTCGGTTCACTTAATAAAGCAAAATACAATTTAGTATCGTCATGAAGTTCGTTGCGACAATAATACTGTCTTGTACCTGTTGCGCTGTATTTACAGTAGCCCACAAATGTGTTCGTACACCTTTTAAAACGCAATAACTTTACTAAATATATAATAATATATATAATAATATATATAAATAAATATATAAAATATATAATAATATATATAATAATATATATATATATATATATATATATATATATATATATATATATATATATAAATATATAAAATATATAATAATATATATAAATAACTGTACTAAATGACTTGAATGTTTTTTTAGATGACAGAGGGAGCAGTCTAATAGACGATGATTAAAAGCTTTTTTTTAAATTTTACTATTACTTGAAATAACAAAAAAATAAAAATCTCTTGCTTTTTAACCTTTTTATCTTAAAAAAGTATGTCTGTATATCTTCTTGAGGTTCGCGAAATAGGAAGGTAGGTTAATGATCACTGCGATAAGGCGATTGCCCTATTTCGGGTGATTAGCTTGTCAGGAATTATTACGTCCACTGCTGGTGTCAATGCACTGATTATGTTTACTTTACGAGAACGGGAGTGTGTGGGAGCGTCGGCAATGTGAGAGAGACGAGAGAATGACAACAGAGGTGGGTCGTTCTTGCGATGTACGTTTGAAGGTAATGTGTCGAAAGGAACGATTATGAGTTTTGGTTTGCTATCCCTGCACTTGTACTCTGCGCGGTCCTGCCGCTACAAACGGCTTTATAGAAATATATAATGGCTTTATATATAGACTTATATATTTTTTATACAAAGATGTTTTTGTATAAATATGACTTTAACCCGAGAAAGATAACCTACGTCGCAGAGGCGCCTGCGAAATAAACAACTGACTGCACCGTTTTTCATAGAGGTCTAGTGATTTAAGTTTAAAATTACTTAAAATATAAAAAAATATAATATAAATGCATTTTATTTTTACAATAATGCCAAACCTTTAAAATGACTAGATTAACTTAAATAAATATCCATTGTTAGTATAAAAATGACGCCTTAGAAAAGCATGCGCCTCTGAAGCGTATGGTTATCTTTTACGTACGTTGTCATATGGTTATCTTTCTAGGGTTAAAGAAAATTAATTAATAGCAAATAAAGAATGGCTGTTTTTAATCGCTTTCGAAGAAAAGAAAGGAAAAAATTTCCTTTTAATCCTCGACCTGCCAAACCTGGGTTAAATTTAATAATGTTCATATTAATGTTATATTAATGTTATAATTTAATAATGTAGATAAACAATGTTACGCTCACTGAACGTAGTTCGTATCAGTGTTCAGTGTAGAGGCGAACAGTGAAGTGTTGCTTTTAAAAAACTACCATCATGTGTATACATTAAGAAAATGACGAATAAAAAATAATTTTCCAGTATTTTCATTTTATGGTCTTACCTGTACTTTAGATGTATAATAATACACAATTTTAACAGAAAAGCTATTTTTAAAGTATTTATTATTAGAGGTTCAAAAATACCTAGAGTTTACCCAGGGTTTCTGCGACCCGGCGGAAAAGGTCAGCCATCCGAGGATTAATATGTAAAGCTGCAGAAACAATATTGCAATAGTCTGGACGAATGATAAGCTTCCTAAATCACTGTTATCATTGAAATCCAGAAAAATAAAATGTTGGATTGATGTTCATCGGAAATTTTATATTACATCAACTGTTTTAACAAGTTATAGCACCTCATAAATTAGGGGCGATCTGCATATCACGAAGAGGTTAACAATTTTCATAACCTGTTTGATTACAGTAAATTTTACTCCATTTTTTTCAGAAATTATGCGAAGCTTCCGTGAAATAAATATTGAGTGACATTTATGAGATATCGCATTTGCAATAAATTACTAATAATCTCCAGCCTTTTTTAATTTCATAACTAGACTGCGGATCCTTATTTAAAGTACAAATTTTCTTCTTCTTCAATAAATTCCAAGATGAAAGAAATACATAAACATCTATTTTCTGTTTTAATTATTCCGATAAGTTGACAGTAATACAATAATATTTTCAGATATTTGTGTAAACACTTTCAATATTTGTGTAAATACTTTAGTTGTTGTACATTTGATCGACGCATTTTTGGTCATACGTAAATGCATAAAATCCGCAATCTGTTCCTAACTAAACCTTCAACAACAAAAATCCTGTATCATGATTAACATTTCAAATTGAAAACATCCAAAAAAAAAACAATCAAAGCACCACTATAATTTTCATACGTAAAACCAGCTACACAAATCAACAAACCTAATAATCTGGTTAAATTATGATTTCTATGAGGACGTCCTTTCTGTCAGCGTTTTTTTCCGCGGCGGTTTTTGATTTACGTCAGTTGAAGAATTATTGGCGGAGTTCGCCTATGGGAGTCGACGCGCGCGTGAAGTCAGGTCAGTTCCAAAATTTATCACCCACGGCCCCCGGCTCGCCGCCACCCTTGTTCCTCAACTATTCACTGTGAGTTTTCGGTATTAGGGTATCTATAAATTCTTCTCTCCCATCCTGTAGACGACGTAGTTTCCTTTTACTGAACGATCCACAAATTAGACTAGAGCGTACGGGCTCGGACCGCCACCCTCCGCAGCCCACGAGATTTATTGGGAAGTCTGTTTTACGCGATTGTAGTTCCCGTCGAGCGGACCGGCTCTTCGCACTGACATTTGAATACCGCTTCGATCCCCGGATCGAGTTCCGCCTTGCTCAACGCGTCTCAGTTACCTTAACATAGGTTGTTAACCGGGGATGTCATATAACGTCTTTTGATACCCATACGTTGTTCACTGCAGACCTCGTATACTGGGTGTCCCAAAATTACCGTGCAAGCGAGAAATGAGGGGTTCCTGAGGTGATTTGAAGTAACTTTTTCCTTAGCGAAAATGCAATCAGCGGCTTCGTTTACGAGTTATTAAGGAAAAACATTGACCAATAAGATGCGAGCTAGAGTAGGCGCGAGACGGCTCAGCCAACGAGCGCACGAAGTCCAGTTCCGCTCATTGGCTCGGCTGTCTCGCGCCAACTAAGTACGTAGTTGTTTACTCGGCTACTCGGCCGTCTCAGTCGTCGCAGCCAATGAGCAGAATTGGGCTTCGTGCGCTCGTTGGCTCGCGTCAGTTGATCTCGCGCCTCTCATTGGTCACTGTTTTTCGTTAATAACTCGTAAACGAAGCCGCGGATTGCATTTTCGCTAAGGAAAAAGTTACTTCAAATCACCTCGGGAACCCCTCATTTCCTGCTTGCGCAATAATTTTGGGACACCCTGTATGACGTCTTCCGACAGCCGAACATAATTGACCGGGAATTAGACAATTCCATTTGTACAGTAATTTCTGCACAAGTGACGCGGAGTCGGAATTAAAAGTGTATTTCAAGGGACCACAAGACACGATTCTTCGAGCCTCGTGGCTCGTTTTTATAGTCGCGACACCTCGTGAGAGAGAGAGAGAGAGAGAGAGAGAGAGAGAGAGAGAGAGAGAGAGAAAGGGAGAGAAAACGAAACTCGTGGCAATCGGCAAAAAAAGGCCGCGGCCAGTATGCCAGTGTACATTACATAATACGAATATGTACGTAATAATGTTATAATAAAACCGACGACTTAACTTTTTTATTTCTAATTTCTTATACCTAAAAATGTATTTAATATATTAATCAGATTCTTCCAATTAAAATGAGACCAAACACGACATGCTTTAAACCATATTTATTTATTATAACATATAGCAAGTAACTTATTTTATTTACGGAAAAAGCATTAGAAAAACCGATTCTGAACTATATATTAAATATTTACCTTTTAGGTACGATGCGCCACTAAAGTCGCTTTCGCAAGTTTCTTTTCGAAGTTTCAGTTTCGAAAATTAAAATTCAGGAAATTCGTGTAAAGAAATACGTACAGTCGGTCACAAAAATATCCGAACACTTCTTAACACGATATATTATATAATAAATTGTACCGAACGGCTTGAATTGTTTCTATGTCAGACAGTCTAGTTTGCTAAACAATCGCCAAAAGATTTTTCGCAGAAATTAAAATCGATTAAAACGTAAAAGAATAATTGAAAACTCGGTGCAATTGCAAAGGTGCATCACAAACCCCAACTCCTTCGTTTAACCGAATTAGCAAAATGTACCCTGCCTCACCTAAGCGTCCGCTTTCGGCCCCGACAGCTTAAGCGTGCACTACTTAGCAAACTTTATATTCGATCGAACCCGAATTCTTTCTTATTCAATTTCCGCAAAATATCATCGACCACGCGCGTCAATTTCTACAAAACTCTATCGCGTCACAAGAACGCGTTAATATCCCACGCTTCCGGTATCCGCGGAATTGAACGAATATAACGGGGCCCTTTCCCTCCGCAAAAATTAATCAAACTACGCCGAGCCATCTCCGTCCGGCGAAACAACAAACTATTATTTCCCACGGTCGGTGGAAGGGTTGATAGTGTGGACTTCCCCCGAAGAACAGGAACAAAGAGTAAATTTTCACTCGGCGTCCCGGCGAGCCGCTCGAAACCACCGCGAAACTTTCACCAAGAAGTCAGTCCTCGCCGGGTCTGAATGTTTCTTTAAAATGGACCGGAGTCTGTTGCTTAAGTAATTTCCGGCGGAAGGGACGTCTCGGCGGAGTTCACCCCTTCTCTTCATTTCGCTGGCTTGCCGTCTGCCCCCCTCAGCCTCCCCCGCCTTCCCGCCGCCCTTTTACGGTGCGGCAACCAGTTTTATACAGGTGCG